TAAATAAACTTTTAAAATCTAAATTAAACATTAACACAGCTTTCATTTGTCTACCATCTGGCGCACCTATAGAAGAGAGGCTTGAAAGGTATTCCACAGACTACGGACAACAAAAACAAATCATTGCATAATATTCAAGTGTGTAGAACAATTAAAATGTTTAACTACTAACTATACCTTGACTTTACACCTATTTTTTTAAACGTCAAGAACTGAACTTCCCAAATGATCCATAAACAAAAAAAGAGTATAAACCACTTACAATCAGCTGTTTGAGGCCGATGAAGGACTGCTCCACAGAGTTGGCTGTGAGGACCTGACGCCTCATGGCTGCCTGCTCTCCCAAGAAACTAAGCATTAGGTCTTTTACAGCATCTCCCTGCATCAAAACACAAAGCCAGTAACATTAAAAAAAGACACAAGGCCAGACAAACAACAGAGACCTTATATGAGGTACATATTCCTCTGTACTCTAGACAAGATAAGGAAACGGGGCGGCGTCATTTAATGTGTCTCCACAGTATAAAAGAAAATGGATGTCATTGCTTAAATTGCGTTGACGACATCATTTACAACCAATCTTGGTTTTCAGTTTTTACTATAACATGTTGAGCAGTAATATCTCAGCCACTATAAAGATTAAGGAAACCTGACCAAATGCATTATTGCAAAGAAGGCATTGTCACTACCTACCTGATCCGTCCCAGAAGCACGATCTATTCTGAGCATGCGCGAATAGTTACACATCCTGGTTTCCATAAATAATGTAATGATTATTTCTATCCTTAATTCACTAAAGAATACTAGTACACATATGTAAAAAATGTTTTATGACTTTTGTGAGACAATTTTTATGCTTTTTACATTTGCTTCGTTAAACTGTTTCTCTGACGTCATCATCAGACATGATTAGAGCAGTCCAGCAAAATATGATTAAATCATGTTTATCTGCATTTTAGTCGTTTCTTTCTTTAGATTATGCACTATATACCATAAGGTTAAAATTAAAGGAAAACATCAAACTCAAAAAGACTAGATTTATGTTTAAATCCATAGCCGAAAAAGTTAGCCACTGGAAGTAGCATAGGACCCCATATCCGGTGCAGATCGGACAGCGGAAACATGCAAGAGGAGGAGGGTTTTGTGTCAGAGGTCGTGGATGTGTCTCCTCCGTCATAGATTTTTTCATTTAGAGGAGGAAAGTGGGTAGGAAGTTGTTGTGGAAGAGGACGCCAGGGTGGCAGAAGCTTCGTTTGGTGTAGAAGGCTTACAGCCGTACATGTTTGAGCCCTTGCCTCGCAACGCTGCCAGTTCTGTTAGCTCTACGCCTGCTGAAGACACAGACATCCATCCCCGTGAACACTGGGACAGAACTCAACGGTAAAGTAAATGATTCTTATTCCTTATTTTAACTATTGCGTATATTAGCTGCAACATATGTATCAAGATATTATTACCCGAAAAAATTTGATTGACAGGTGAGCGTTGATATATGATTGGCCGAATTTATGTGTACAGGCTGACGTATAACTAATTGGTCTGCATAAGATAAGGAAAAATACCCCACAGATTTTAAGAAATTTTGGGGACAATATCGTCTGATCAAGAGTACATTTATATACATGTTTAAGCCAGAATGATTTGACATTTAAATATGACTTCCCTACGACTTAGAATATGTATGACATATTCTAAACTAATTTCTATCAGTGATCAATGTGAAAACTTTTGCAGTACCTATAGATAAATATTCATGCTAATAAAATGTCCTACCTGTAGGTTGTCAAATTTCAGTCCAGGCATTGTGAGTTTGTTGCTCTCTACATATGCTGGACTGTACTGCTGGGTGGCAACGGATATCAAAACCTTTCTCGTCTCTTCACACGGCAGCCAGGCATCGTGTCGCCTGTCCACCTCACTCAAACTCAATGCAGTTGCAAATGGGTCGTCGCTGCCTGAGAACACAGCTTGGAGCTGGTTGAAGGGCTGTGGCTGTGTGGCTGAAACTGGGACTGGGGCCGGAGCTGGAGCCGAGGCAGTCTGGGGTGGAAGTGGTTGAGAGTTGGTGTTTGGTTCGGCGGAAGTAAGAAAAAATACTGGGCTAGTACTGGGAGCAGCAGAGTCTAAGAGTGCTCCTGGGGTGGAGATAGAAGAGGAGGTTGAAGAGAGGTGGCGCTCATTTGTGAGGGGTATGGGTGGGGGTCCACCTCCTGGAGAAAGATCGGCGTTGGGGTTGGAAACGGAAATAAAAGATGATTGAAGAGTAAAAGAATCGAAGAAGTCAGAGGCTGGATTGCCTTGTCCATTGTCAGCAAAGAACTTACTGAGGCTTGGGCTGGGCTGACATACTAGGGGCCTGTTTAGCTTATTAGGAGTCACAGCCTCATCACTTCCACCTGCACTTCCCATTGTAAAGCTGGGGGACTTGATTAAGGTTGGCTGGAAACCATCAGGCGCCAACGACTTGGGCAGGGTACTCTGGCTGAATATGGTGCACACTGGCACAGGCTCATCTTTTGGACCAGTTCCTGTGCCTGACAACGGCTCTGGATCCTCACTCGTATTAGGAGATGGACCTGGAGTATCATCCTGAGGTGAAACAGGAGCTGTGACCTGCTGTACTGCACCTTGTTCCTCTTTTGTTTCCTGTTCAGAACATTCTTCTTCCAGTTTCTCCACTGAAACCTTAATCTCAGTTGAATTCTGTCCAATTTCACTGTCCTCTTCCTTGTTTTCTGGAGTTGCATTCTCCTGCTCACCGCCATCCAAATAGGAGTCGATAGGAGCCACATCATCTTCCTCGCTGTTATTAGGCGAGTCGGAAATCATGACACTCTCCATCATTTGATCATTCAGTCTGTCCAGCAGGCTTTCAGTGGGTGTGGCACTGCTGTCTTCCTGGGGTGTGACAAAGTCTGTACCTCCCAGATCAATGCTGTCTTCTTGGGCCAGGAGGCCATCATTAGTCAGGATCTGATTAGCAGCTTCAAATTGACTAGAAGCTTCTCCAGTAAGCCCTGAAACTCCAGCTTCATCTTCCACTGTGATCTCCAGAGACACAGGCCGCTGGGAATGAGCTTCCCCTTTGTCCATCTTACTACTGCTGAAAAAACAGAAATAATTTTAAAGTTAGTTTTCCCATGTATTACAAAATGTGTGTAAATATAATGTTAAAATAACATTATTTATCGATTATTAAAGAATTAAAAATCAATCAAGTTTAAAACACATATTTAAAGTTATTGTGGATGATTTTCGCAAATTTTTGAAAAGACCTGCTCCCGAGAGGGAACGCATATTAAATGCATGCGAGAGCGTGCACAAGCCCATTTCTCATTTGTGCACGCTCTGTTTAAATGTTTGCCGTTTGCATCGCTTATACAAGCTTACTTTCCAAAAAAAGATTTGCAATTTTTCCACTATGTCAGACTCACCACCGGTAAGTGAAAATTGGGACGAGCACGTAGGATGGTCTTACGTAAACATATCACCAGAATGACTGACAGTTAGGAGGACCACTTATTTTGATGATCCATCCTGAAAAACAACATCCTCCACTATACCTTTAAGTCATTCTAATCAATAATTTTTTTTTAAACAAATAAAAAATTTAAAAAACCTTGGCAGAAGACCTTTTCAAATTCTGAAACTATCTGCATTCATCTGTGGGTTATTGATCAGAAACTTGGGAAAAAAAAGAAAAAAAAAGAAACAAGCACTCAAGGAGTCAGAAACGAAAAACCAGAATTTCCCTATTGTGGGACAATAAAGGTAATTTCTATTCTATTCTACACTCATCTTAGTTCTTTATTCAGGTAAGATGCTTCTGTAATATCCATAAAACTTCCAGCCATATAACAAGTCTTGAATATTGCCTCTGATTGCAGTCCATTTAAAGTCTTTAAATGTGCTTTGCTTTACAATCTTTTCACTGGTGGTATAATAATATGCATTGATGACACTTTTCATGACTTAATTGTTCCCATCAGAAGTGTGTGTATGCTTATATATTAACGTTTGTGTGTTTTAGCTCCTCAAAGCTCTTTTATGCTCTATTAATTTACTAAGATGTACCTCAGCATGGAAGCATATGTACAAACTCTAGATTAGCATAAGCCTTATATAGGCACTTATAGGAATTGTTTTCAACTACTTTAAGTGTTAAATCTTTTTGGTTTTAGATAAACAGAGCTCTTTAAATGGTAAATATATATATATATATATATATATACACACATATATACATATATCATTTGTTGAAAGGGTGCAAGTATTGGCAGATTTATGGCTGATAATAAATGAAGATAATCCAATTTATGGACAATAGAAAATGAATTGGAAATAACTGAAATTTTTTTACAAATTTAAGGACACATTAAAAAGAATATTAAAAGGATGATAACTTTTTTTATTGAAATAGATATCAAAATGAATGTATTTAGTTGGATAATAGAAAATAGAAAACACTAGGTTCCTGTTTTATGTCTCCTATTCTCCTTCCAGGAAGCTGGAAACCTGAGCTTCCTGTCAGTCGAAACACAAACAGCTAAAGGAGGAATTATTGCTGCTGACACATAGCTACAGAGGTACGTTTATAGTGAATTATTTTACTTTGTTATGGGGATATGATTCAGACTTGCATCTTTCCTGAAGTAGCTATGATGCTAATGCTACATTAGCCGACTAGCTAATACATTTACCTTTAATTAACTGACGCACGCGGTTTTAACGCATAACTGGTAGTTAACCACGCATTTTGTATAGAACTAAACAAGCTGTTCTTTCACTTCGGTCGGATACAAATAAATAATAGATCACAAATGGAAACGCTGAGACACAATTCTTACCTTTCTGCCTTGACGGGTGAAAATCTAACGCGCATGCGCCACGTAAAAAAGCGTCGTCATAGATAACAAAGTCGTATTCTGTATGTGGTTGTACGTAAAATCAAAAGCCCGTACAACGTTTTGGGGCCGTTAATACGTCAAACGGACATACGTTCGCATTCATATGCGGAAGTGTTGCTACAGTTTGTTTTTAGCAGCAGCTAACACGAATGCTGTATTTCTAAGGTGATTTAGTATTTATTGTGATTTTAAAAGGATCCGAAAGGACTTGCAACGAGGGGGGAGATGGAAGACGACGCTCCGGTTATATATGGTCTTGAATTTCAGGTTTGCAATAAAAGATGTGGCGTTTTATTCTTTAATTCATTGTATGTAATACTGTGATAGTCTCTGACATGTTATTATTCTTGTAGGCTCGCGCTCTTACGGCCCAAATAGCTGAAACGGATGCTATTCGCTTCCTCGTGGGCACACAGTCACTGAAGTTTGACAACCAAGTAAGAACATCCATTCACTACTGATAAATTTATGCAAACTATGTATAGATAACATTTTTACACTGCTGTGCTTATTATGTGTTAAAATGTCCTTGATCAATCAGTCTCTTATTGACATTAGATTGTTTTAGCTTGTTTCTTTGTTTGCATTTAATAGCTTTTAATAATTTATCATTAAAGTATGTTACCATATTATAAATATTCCCTTAGAATTAAATGCACCATCTAACATTTTTTTTAGGTTCGTTTTTCTTCTTCTTGATTTGTTAAGCCTAATAATTTTTTTTCTCTCCTTTTATTAAATCCATAATCTAACTATAACTTAGGGCTACTATACCTGCCAGGCACTTTATTAGATACGCTTAACGAGAAACAAGGTGGAGACCCTCCTTTTTTTTTTTTAGAACTGCCATTCTTGTGAGATTCAAGGTTGGGAACATTCTTTTGGCGTTTGGATCACTGCTGAAATGCAAATAATATCCATTAAATAATAATAATTTAACTTTATTGATCTCACATTGGAGTAATTTACCTCTGCATTTAACCCATCCCCTTGGGGAGCAGTGGGCTGCCATTGTGCAGCGCCCGGGGAGCAGTGTGGGGTTAAAGGTCTGGCTCAGGGACCCAGAATGGAGGCTATGGGGATTGAACCGGGTACTTGTGTAACCGGATCCTTTCCGCGTTGTGCTGGTTTTATTAAGTGATCAGGCATTTTTTCTTTAAAAGGGCAATTTTCTTAATTTATTGTACCTGACGAGAACAACAAATAAGAAAACAACCGTGTTATAGGATGTCCGCTCCAAGTCCTACACAAAACAGAAGTTAACTTAATAGATCTATAAATAAACTGGATGTATTCAGATGAAAAATAAATGGCACACACCTCTCCTACAGGACAACATGACAAAAGGGGAGGGTCTAAGAGGTGCAAAGAATTTATAGACAATACCACAGTAAGAAAAATAAAAGGAGGGGCTTCCACTCTTAAAGTAGCACAATTAAAACAATGACAGATTTTCTAAAGGTCTTTCAGTCAAGTGTCTAACAATACAAGTAACCAAACAAAAACATTTTGTGTAATTATAACACAAGAGAAATACAACCAGGTTACACTTGCAACCTTCTCAGAGGACATGCGCACTGCTCTAACCATTTGGCCAACACTCCCTATATTTACTGCAAATTACTCAGCTCTACTTCCATGGCACAAACCTTCCAATCATTATTAACCAAAAATGTTTTTTTGGATTAATATTTTGGGACTGCTGTTGTGACAGCAGCAGTGGGCTCATCATTACCTCCAAGAACAAAACTTGAGATGATTTAAACTTTGGGATTCTGAACTATATTCTTGTCAAAGTAGCAAATTAACTCAGATATTAATTACATAAATTAATAGTACATACTTTTTTAATTGAAGTTTTTCACTATATACTAAAGTATGTGATCAAACTCTAACAGTAGTGGGATTGTTTTACTGCTGTCTAGGGGAGAAATAAAATGAACCAGCTTTTTGCTCAGGAGTGCCCTCGTTCAGTCCTTAAGAGCTACTATCCTGCAACTTTTAGATGCATCTGTTCTCCAACAGTATTGATTCAAATGACTGAATGGGTCATTGCCTCTTTTACAGAGCTGAAGGAAATCACAATGAGGGGTCTCTGCCATTTCATTTAGATATGTTGGAACGGTGGATCTAAGAGCAAAAGCTCAGAAGGACTGGACTCAGGCATCTCTCTTAGAAAGTTTGTTCATAGATTTGTCAGAAACCAAAAAGGTATTGAATTTGGTTATTTATATAAAATATATTTATTGTTACTTATATATGAGTGGGAATGCACGGCCACAATATTTATTAGACATTCTCTTGTATAAGTACTCAATACAGAGTTTGATATTTTTTTGCTTTAACAATGTACTAAGTAAGACTTGGGGAAGTCTTACTTAGTACATTGTATAGCTGGTTAGTAAGCTGTATAGCCAGCCTAAAGTTTGATACTTATCACACATGCTGCTCATGACTCAGCACATTAAAAAGAACCAGAAAAGCACTAAGAGCGCATGCCTCTGCCAAGCAGCAAACTTTTCCCCAATGTTATGTCTATTGCTAAAACCTGCTCATTGTCTGGTTCATTAGGAAATTTGAATGAATTTTTCCTTTGCATGAGGCGCACCTCTAGTAAAAATGTCATTGGAAACATTTCATAAGTTCATTGCAGTAATAAGGCACAGCGTGTTTCTGCAGCCTCTGGTGTCTGCTCTGCTCTCTCCTCTTCATCCTCTCTGCACTCTACTTTCTTCTTTGATGAGCAGATCGAGACTTTGAGCAAGGCACTGCTCACCTTTCATGTGTTTTTCTATTTTTTGTCTTAACTATTAACCTTCGTGAATTTTTTGAATCCTATACTGAAGCTGTCAGTGCTCACTGCTGCCATCTTCTGGTGTGGGGGAAACTGCTTTTGATGTTAAAGAATCCTTTAAAAAATTCCTTTATCCAGATTATGACCTGGATCATCACAAAAATGTATTGGTTTGTTCATTGATATGAGGCGCATCTCTGGTAAAAATTTCATTAAAATCCATTCATAGCTTTTAAAGTACTCCTGCCAACGGACAAACAAACGCGATCGATAAACATAACCTCTTTGGGAGAAGTAATGAGTGGTGGCTTTCTTTTGTTTTTTTTACACCATCAATATCTGTATTTTCAACAAATGGAATCATTTCGCAATCAAAAGATTTGTTTTTCTTGAATACTTATAGAAGTAACTGTTATGTTCTTTATGCCAGCTGACCGGCAGTGTTCAACAGCTGAACTATTGCTCTAAGCAGCTAGACTCACATTTTCTCTAGGATGTCATCAAACAGACGTTGTACTGCAGGAAGGGAATAATTTGAAATTGGTATACCTTATCACCAACTTATCCCTGAACTGAATGGATTATCTCTGCCAAGGAAGTTAAGTTTTTTTTTTCATTGGCGACGGTTTTTCTATTTTCAAAATAAGAAAAAAGTTATTGATGGATTATTGTGGAGATTTAAAAAAAAAACTTCAGTGATGATCCTGATCCAGCGTGAATACAGGTATTAATTTAAGGTGGAAGTCAAAATGTTGCCAGGGAATTGAGCTAATATGCTGAGATCTGTGATCTCTGAATGCTTATCTAGCTTGCTGGTTTTTCTTCTTCTAAACACATTAAAGCACAAATGAAACATCTAGAATAAAGCACATATTTCACTGGAAATAATATCCCTTTTAATAATCCTTTAATCTCAGACCATGTGCAACCAATATCTTTACAGAAATCTGCAGATCTTACGAAAACCTAAAAGTAGTAACACTAAAAAAGCAGACATAGAGAACCTCTGTATCTTTAAATGCTAACTTCAGCAAATGACTTAATCAATCATGAATCTATGCACATGTTAATCAATAACTAATTTATTTCTGGATGCACTAATAGTGAAGTCCTTTACATTAACCATTTATTTCAGTGATGTGCACCTGTATTTTAGGCGGTGCTTCTCGTACTGCAAAATGCATCATGCGTGTTCATTTCTTTTCTGATTATTGGCACTTTGAGCCTACTGGTGTTTCTGGGGTTGTGTGAAGGAAACAGAATGTGGGGGTGCGCGTGTATTCATGCACATCTTGCAGAGGTCATTACGGAGACAGATGACAGTAACAGTTGGCTCTAAACAGGAGGAGAAATAATTAGGTCTCTGAGTTAGAGAAAGCGCTATGTGTGCCTTAAAAAGAGGGAGCCCATTTTCTGGCCGACTTCAGTGTGAAAACAGCCTGGCATTGATTGCTGGCACGGTTCAGTCCCAGTCCTGTGTTGGTGACGCTAATAAAGAGCCTTTTGGGAATGGTGACAATGTGTCCCAGCCTTTCTGTGTGATTTCCTATTACTCATTGTTAGTAGCTTGATATGCTTCCCCTCACTGTTTTCTGTAAGCTCTAACAAGTAAATTGTTTAACTTAATCAAAAAAAATCTTAGTCTTTCAATTGTTCTGTTCATTTAACGACTATAAGTTTGTGATCTAGATAAAAGTAAAAAATTTACCACAATAAAAGCCTGTATGCTCATTTAAAAACAGCATATAGATGATTCAGAAAGAAAGGGTCAGCTTTGGTATGGATACTATAGATATGTGTTCAAGGTATTTAATTAAAAATAGACATTAAATACTCCTAAGATGTTGACCCATTGGTCACTTTATTAGGTACACCTTTTTAAATTTTGAACACAACGATTTAAATTCAGAAATTAAATGCATGCAGAAATGCGGGAGTGCTGAAGCTAACTTGCTGAAGTTCAAACCACGCGTTGGGAAGAAAGGAAGCTTGAAGGCCTTTTGAGGCTGGCTGGTATGGTTGCCCGACTGGCTGGTCTGAATCTAAGAAACTACTGATTTACTGTGAAAGATTCACAAAAGGGAAAATACAGTTAAATCAATGAAAGTGCCTTTCTGTTTTTGTAATGAAAAAAAATAAAAAATCTTTCAACACATAAGAGGTTAAAGCAAATGGGCTACTGTAGCAAGAGGCCAGATCAGGAGGCTCCGGTTCACGCACCTGATAAGACTTGATGTTAACTTTGACATTCAGATAGCGGGGTCACAATTTGGCATCCAAGCTTGAATCCATCCTGCCTTGTGCCAGAAGTCCTTTTGTCCGTGTTGTTTAATGGTGTAAAGCAGAGGTTACCAATTACAACTCAGTTGGGTCCGAATAAAGAAAATCCTCAACCAATGAGGTCTTGACTCTGGAGATATTTTTGTTATCAAAATCTGTTACTTTAAACAGAATTTTACCCTGAAATAGAATGCAGGTGTCTATGCATCCATGTTATACATTGAATTTTTAAATAAAAATATAAAAAATAGAACATTTTTCCTTTTTAAAACCTACATTGTTTTTTAAGTAGAGAACAACAATTGTTCAGTTTGGTATAGAGACAATTTCTGATTCACTTATTTTATAAAACACCTGAACTGA